TGCTGGGAGAAAAAACTATCACCTATATATCCTCTTGGTCACTAGTTAGTTGTAGGTAGCTTTTCCACATTTTCAGTTACCTTTAGTGCCACGAAGCACATGTAAGAGTCCCTGAACATATGTCAGAATTTCTCTAGGGTAGATGCCTAAAAATGCAAATATAAGGTTGCTGGGAAGTCACATCTTTATCTTAATTAGGTATTGTCAATGTTTTCTAAAATGATTGAATCAACTATTATTCAGCACTAACCATTTTCCCTCCAAGTTCCCATTACCTTTGGCATTATCAGACCTTAACCATGGCAATGCAGTGAATATAAAATAGTCCCTTTCAGTGCATTTTGGCATTTTTAAATCTTTTCCTGTTTACCTGCTATTCAGTAGCCTTTGAATGTTTTGAATTGACTATTTATATTCTTAGACCATTCTTAAAACATGGCTATGTTTTTCCTTAGTAAGTTGTCATAATTCATCCAGTATTCTGGATAATTTTCCTTATATGACATGCCATCACAATTCTTGGCCTCATCCTGCTGTCTGCCCTTTCATTTTATCATGTGTAGCTTTTTTTTTTTTTTGGTCTAAAGTATTTGATCTTTGTCTTTTGGTACCTTAAGACATTACATCCTATTCTGCTATCTTGAGGAATTCTAAATTTTCTTCTTGTGGCTGTTGAGTTACAGGTGGAAGGCATCCTTTTAATTTCATTGAAATTTGGTTCTTATTGACAAGAATTTCCTACATTAAAAAATGTTGTGACTTGTGGGTATGTTCAGTGGTTTTGTCAAAAGCAAAATCTGGAAGCTAAATCTCATTTAATATCTCCAATAATCCTATGAGGTAAATGCTATAATAGAGAACTGAAGCAATCTGTCCAAGGTCACAAGACTTAGGAATGCCCAAGCTTGATATGAAGGGGCATAACTCAACTTTCTGTTCTTGATCACAACCCTACTTGCCTTAGAAGTTTCTTCTTTAAACTGTGTTTGCGTGGAGGGACTTAAGCTAAACTTGATGTAAGCAGAGGTAGGTATCTATTATTACAACAGTAGCACATGTTCAATCTCTAACAATGGATAGATAACATAATATGAAAATTGTTTGCTTCTTAAATCTATAATGCCTCCCAGGCTCTCCCTTGAAGCCTCAGTGGAAGTTTCCATGACCCCTAACTTTGTTTTCTGCACATTTGCAGAACAAGTACCACTTGGATGCTGACAAGGACCACTATGGGCATGAGCTTCACCTAGGCCTGCCTGAATCACAGCTGAACCCATGCCGTGCTTTGGGGCTAAATACAGGGAAAGGAATTTTGAGGGAGTCCTGCATCTGGTTTTATTTTTGAGAAGATCATTCTGGTTGTTCTGAGGCCTGAATGCATTTTGAAATGGCTGCCAATAGGATGATGAAATAGATTTATGTGGTAAGGGAAAGACAAGAATCAAGGAAGCCTCTGTGGTGTTTGCTTGAACATGGATGGTGACATTATTTATGAAGATGGGGAAGAAATGTGAGAGGAGTCGAGTGGAGCAGATGAAGTGGATGGGGAGTTTTGCTCAGCTCAACTCACTTTGAGAAGATTATTAGATAGCTACATAGAAATGTCAACTGGGGCAAATGGGACACGGAAGTCTGGAATTTAGGGAGGAAAAGGTTACTTTATGACATACATTTGGCAGTGATATCTAACCCATGGAATTCCATGGAATCATCTAGGCAAAGAGTGTTGTCTGAGAAGGGCAATAACTATGCCCTGGGATGACCTTAGCTTTTTGAGGGTAAGCAGAAAAAGAGGACGGGGCAAAAGAGGCTGAGAAGGTACATTAGTGAAGTTGGAGGCAAAAAGAAAATTCTTTTGGTGACTAAATTATAAGAAGGATGATTTAAATAACAGAGTCATTAAGTGTGCTAAATAATGCAGAAGGACTAAGTAGGATTTTAAAACAGTTGTAAGTGCTGGGTTTATCTTGTTGATAATTTTGACAAGTGGTGAGTCATAAGTGGAGTGGAAAGGGGCAAAAACTATTTGGAAATTATTAGAATGGGAAGAATGAAGGTAGCAATCAATAGTGACTTAAGGTAACTTTTCCAGGACTGTTGACAGTGAATATGAGAACTGAGGGCACTAATGAGATTGGATCATGGAGTCAAGGGAACTTTACAGGGGGTTGGTAGGCAGATGCTGGTCTCTAAAGACTTCCTGGCCCTTGTCTCGGGAACTTACGGTTATATTAAATGATATGGGAAAGGGGAATTAACACTGATAGCAATTGACCTTTAAGGAGAGAAGAGCTGTGAAAAGGAGAGATTCATGGACTGTCAAGTTACCTGCAAGCTATGCAAAGAGCTCCAGTGATGGGGTTTGGTGATGCAGCTGCTCCTCTGAGTCATCCCTGCTCCTGTGATAGTAACTCCATTTAAAACTCCTTGGTTCACTAAGTTGGACTTTGGTGCAATCATGACTTTGGTCTGTCATGGATTCCCTGTCTAGGGTGAGTAGATGTGTGTGTATGTGTAAGAAACTAAAACATTTTGTGAAGTTCTTTCTTACAGTATTCATCAACGTGGGCTTATGATTTAATTCAGTAAGGAAGGTAATACAATGTAGAGGTGTTTATTGATCAAGAGTTATAGTGAGGATTTCAAAATATCTGGAAACTTGCAAAGTAGATGAATTGGATTTCCTATTAGACATAACAGATTAAACACATGCTTACATTTCCTCCCTCCAGTAATGCTTCTACAACAAAAGTAAAACGATAAAGCAGTAACAGCAAACAGGATAGACATAAGAACAAAAATTTGAATGATGAGAGAAGGAAAGCAGGCCAACTTCAGCATAGCAGGGTCAATTCTAATGTTGGGCAGGAGATAAAGTCTACAAGGACGGATCTTTTTTATCCTTCATAAGGAAGGTTCACAGGGCTGGGAATTGCTGTTCAAGCATGAGGACCTGAGTTGGGATCCTCAGAACCCATGTAAAGGTGGACATAATAGTATGTGGCTATAATTTCAGCACTCCTACAGCAAGATGGGAGACAATCCTCAAAGCTCAAGAGCCACTAGCCTGGGCTCCAAGCAGTGAACAATAAAGAGACATTGTCTCAAACAAGGTGCAAGGCACAGACTGATAGATGAAGTTGTCCTCTGACCTCCACATGTGAGCTATGGCACATGATGGGTCTGCATTCACACACTATACACAAAGAGGGATAACCTGATGAATAAAAGTTGGAAGCAGCAGTATATACATCTAACAAAGAACAAAGGATGTGAATGGAAACAGGATTAACTGAAAATCAAGTGGCCTGTGCAGGGTTCGGTGATAAGGTGGCAGCCTGTCTTGATTCTGAGACCTGGAAATTCACACTCTGCCGATCTTGAACCATCAATGCTCTGAAGGGTACTCCAGGCACACCGAGACCCAGGAGATGTGTCCCCCAAGAAAAAGAACAGAGCTGATAATTTACCCAATGTACTAAATTATACTAAAAAGAGGAAAATTTGGGTATAAACTTATGAGTAGTATAAAAAAAATACAGCAGGGATTGAAAAATTAAGAAAGGAGGAAGTTTGAACTGCAGATAGCTGTACAAGGAAAAACACCTGTGAGAATGAAAGGACTGGAATCACAGTCCACCACATAACGCCGCTGCCTGAGGATGTAGTCCTAATACTATAAATATTGTATGTGTATTCCATAAGAATCAGGATACAAATATGGTTGGGAGTTTATGAGTAAGAAAAGCCTATGTATAGCTAGCATAAGAGAGCTGAATTCCCTTCTCTAGTCAGGTGTCTAAAATGGACAAAACAAAAAGTAGAAAACTAAGCATATTTAAACAATAAACATGAAAATGTGTATTATCAGAAACAGTTAAGAGTTCAACATACTGGCAGTTTGGGTAGTGGAGATATGCAGGGATTGGTGTCTTTTGTTATAATCTTTGTAGGCCGGAAACATTTAATGGTTTACGCTATGCCTGTGTATTATTTTGATTTGAGGAATAATGCATATGCTCTAGAAATATTGGCATTCAAGTCAAAATAGGGTTTAGTGATGCTTCTGGCATCTAGAAGACTTAGGTCCATGATGATGCTAAGTATTCTACAATGAATGGTGTGAACCCCAGAACAAAGATTCACCCAGCCCCAAATGTCAATAGTGCTGAGAAACCAAGCTCCAAGTCTTAGAGGATTATTTCATCAGAACTTATACATAAAGATGATATGCAAACATCTTGCAATTTAGGATTGACTCAGCTAAATATTGTGGTGCAATGTTGGAAGCAGTGTGGTTGTGAAATATATCTTTGGGAATATTGAGAATGGTAGAGTCAAGACAAAAGGTATAATATGTGATAGCAATAATAGAGTGCTTTGTACCTCAATAATCTCTTTCATCCAGGATTCCTTGGGCACTTAATAGACTAATAATAACTACTCTAGTTTTCACAAATTCCTTTTATCTAAGGACCTTAGGCACTTTCACAACACTTTCCCAATGTAGGAAGTATCATTATCCCCATTTTATACGCAGGTAAACAGAGGCACAAAAGTTAAGCAACTTGCCCAAAGTGGAGCAAGTCAGTAGCAGCCAGCACTCCTGAGTTGGAGCCGATTATTATTAAGAGAACTGGTCTAAGAGATGTGATGAATTTATATGGCATATGTTACCCTAGTTCATTCAAAGTATATCATTTTTAAGTTAATATTATATATTAATTGAGTCATCTTTTTTTAAAACTTCCTGTCTTTCCAGAGACTGATTTTTCTTTTTTCTTTTTTTAAATTTTATTTTAATTTATTTTTTATTTTTTGGTCTTTTTGAGACAAGGTCTCCCTGTAGCCCCAGCTGTCCTGGAACTCAATAGGTAGACCAGACTGGCCTTGAACTCACAGAGATCTGCCTGCCTGTGCCTCTTGAGTGCTGGGATTAAAGGCGTGCGCCACTACGCCCTGTGAGACTGATATTTTAATAGGTGGGACTACGTTGAGAGCAGTCTTTGAATCAAGTACACTATAAGCAGAGTCAACTCTTAACACATGTTATTACCATTTTATAGTAAAAAAGCTACTAAATTTCAGATAATTTAAACATATGATCAAAAATTGTCAGTTACTTTACATATATTTAAATCCAGGTTGAGTGTATCCTCTTATCTAGGTATCTGACAGTCTCTCCCAGGGGAATTCTTCAGTCAAATTAGAAAGTGCATGAATGTGAATGCATTTAGTAGTCAAGCCTTTACCCCTGAAAAATTTCAGGTGGTGCACCGAAGTTGGTAACATGGTACATAAGCAGTTGGAGCTTTACATTCTACTCTCAGGGAAGGCCTTTTACCAAAGACTTTTCTAGAACTCTCTTGGTAAACCATATGTTCAGCCCAACAGGTAGACCAAAGACCAGAACTGTGTAGGGCATGTGAGTCATTTTCCCTTTCTCCTGGCTGTGGCAGGCACACACTACCACCCACCTACCGCGTGCCACCTGGACATGTGACTCAGGGCTCTTTTTTAGGAAATGGAGACCTGGTGTTCATGGCCCCTGACAATGCGCTCTGATCTTACGTGTGTCTGTGAGGTCACTGGTCGCCTACCCAACTCTGACCCAGAGATATTAGATGTCTTGCATCTGACCTACCCCAGGACATATCTGGTTGGAGAAATACAACTATCCAGCCTTGCCACGTTGGTGGGGAGTTTTGCTGCTAAATCCATCTCGAAAAGGAGGTGTAGAGACAGCGTGAGGCACAAATACAATAAAGTGTGGAAAGGAATTTATGACAAGTCAAAAGCCCGAGAGACTAGTAAACTCCGGATAATTCCTTCAGAATTTGTCTTTTTAGCTAACTACAGGATGCTCGTTTTTTTTTTTTAGGAGTGTGCAGGGTTTGTTGCTTCGTCTCCTGCCCACCACACCAGTGCATCTGAAAAGGGGGCAGCGACAAGGGAAAGGAACACAGGGGTATTTCCCTATCCTGGCTAGCCAGGTCCTGAATCATCACAAGCTGGTAGCACTTTCCTTCAGCAAGTCACAACTTTCCCAGGAATAACACGATCTTGTACTTAAAAGGAAGAGTGGTGGGAGACCAGCGAGGCGAAGGGGAGGGGGGCGTGGAGCGGCCGTCCCGCCCCGGAATCCTAGGCGCCGGGAGGCTGCAGCCCGGAGGCCGCGGGTCCAGGAATGCGCTGTTCAGGCTGCGGGCGCGGGAGGCGCGCCCCGGGCAGGGGGAGGCGCAGCTGCGGAGGGGCGGGGCGGCGCGCACCTGGGCGCAGGGGGCGGGGCGTAGTCGGAACTACCCCCTGCCCCCGAGGCGCACGGAGTCGGCTCTTTCCGCCCCGTTTCGGCACCGCTCGGCTTCCCCCTCTCGCTGGCTCTCTGCCTCCGTACTGGGACTGCTGGGGAGCTCAGGACCGCAAGTTTGCCGCGGCTCGTCGCGCGTCGGAAGCGGAGGGCTCACCTGAGCACCGCTCAGCCGGGCGCCTCGGTCCACCTACGCTCCCCGGAGGTAAGGGACTGCTCGGGCCGCCTCGCGCACCAGTCCCCTTTCCGCTCGATGCGTCCCCAGTTTTCCGAACCGGCCGAAGACGAGGCGCCTAGTCCCGGAGGGAGGTGTCGGTTGCGAGGAGCCGGGGACAGTCTGGCACTCAGGTGCTGGCGGCCCAGATACCCCGGCGCGTGGCGCGGACCCGGGTGGGATGGAGTGGGACGGGGCGGGCGGCCGGGTTGGGGTCCGCCCCTGTCTCCTCCCTTCGGGGCGGCGAGCTCGGGGATCCCGCGGAGGTGAGCCCGGCGGACTTGGCGGGTGGGACGCGCGAAGGACCCCGAGGGTGCGGCCATCGCAGCCCTGCGGCGCCGGGACCTGACCTCTGCCTGGCCGCTTGTGTTTCCCGCAGAGCCGCCGGCGGCTACGGAGCTCGCTGGTCCGCGCCCGGGGCCGTCCCCCTTGCATCCTCCCGCCGCGGGCCGGAGGCGGCGGCAGCCCGGACGAGCGGCGTGAGGGGCGCCCCCGCCGGCCCCTGTGGGAACATGGCGACCGGCGGCTACCGGAGCGGCGGCAGCACCACGGACTTTCTGGAAGAATGGAAGGCCAAGCGCGAGAAGATGCGCGCCAAGCAGAACCCCGCGGGCCCGGGCGGCTGCGACGCGACCGCCAAGTCCCCGGCGGGGCCCCTGACCACCTCCGCTCCCAGCGAGCTCAACC